CGGCGTCGGCAGAGACGTGACTGAACTGCGGTGAGAGTCGCGGCGGTCGCCCAACGATGGCTGTTGACTGCCGTCGTGGCGGAGCCGAAGGGCCAGTTTGTGGCGCTGATGCGAGAGCTGAGTGGCCGAGAAACACGACACCACATCAAACCGGGAGTTGGGCTCGGAGTTGACCCGTTCCCGGAGCTGCACGTGAAACTGTTCGTGAAATGGTTTGCCCTTCGATAGGGTCGGTATATTGATCCAGAATCGGTCGGCCGCCGACGTGGTCACGATCTTGGCTTTGGCCTCGAACACGAACCGTATCGGCTCTTGAATACCCTGTACGACCAGATCCACGGCTATCGTGAAGTACACCCGTGTGTCTCGCGGTGTCTCCGAGTTTAACACTTCAAACAACGGTTCGGTCGGATTCCAGGCGCCGATGATCTGCCATTGGGTGACAACTTTGCGATTGTTATCCGTCGGTACCGTGTGTTTGGTCATCGATAAGAGTCCGATGGGTATCATATCCGAGGACTTTATATTACGGCCTTAAATGACAAACAAAAATAATTACAATTAAAATCAATGTTTGAATTCGTAATCTAAGAGTTATGTGGAAAACAAATAAATTTGTCCCACAAATGAATCGACAAATAATTAAATTAATACAAAAATGTCATAAATTAAGACCAAAATATTTGCCAATTCATTGAATCATTCGTTTATAATTAAAAGCAATAAAAAAAAATAAACAAAAAACTTAGAAATATTTCTCTGATTAGACATCAAATATAAAGTAAATGTTAAAAACCTGGCGATAATAGCATTCCGAAGCACTTCTCGATGTTGAGAGTGACCCGGGATTGGGTCGAGTCCTGGAAAATGGCGATACATATCTTCTTCTCGGCGTTGGCCTTAAACTTGAAGCACTCCTTATCTCTGGGACAGGGGTTAGACTTGCCGTCGGCGGTGTCCTCTTTGATCTCGAGGCCCGACTCCACGATTATGTTTATGTCTTGATTAGTGGTCGTGTTTGTCGGCACACGTCTGGGGCGGAGACACGCAATACAAAACAGATTACAATCAAAGTCACAACACATGTCAATGTAGTAAATACCTAAACGCCAGACCGAATGCCTCGAGTATCTCAGCGACGGTGCGCGCGTTGAGACACCTGAAGACGTGACACTTGATGACACCGGTCTCGAAGGTGGAGCCGTGCGATGCGGTGAACGCAAAACACATCCGTTCGTTGGACTCTTGTTTACCTCTGGCGCAGAATATGATGCGCGCGATCGGGAACTGACCCATCAGTTTGGGCCCAGAGGTGTCACCATTGGTGGCGTCGCCGGCGTTCGACTCGTCGCCAGTGCCGGCGGTGATAATGATGGGCGTCGAGTCCGGCACCAACTCATACATCTGGACGCACTCATCGGGACTCTTTGGCACAATGAGAGTGATGTCCATCGCGGAGGGGCTGTCGTTAAGTATAGCCATATTGCGCTGAATCTCGGCTTCACTTCGGGGCGCGTTTATGGCCACACATCCCAAGTATGTCACCCGTTGTTGCAGTGGTGGCGGCGCCACAGATACCGACCTCTGGACGACCGGCGCAGACGTCGTGGGAGGCGTTGTGGGCGGCTGTGGAGGGCTGTCGTTGGATGAGGCGATCGACGAAGACGTGGACACAGTGTCCGATGACTCGACGGCCTGTGTCTGCTGTGGCACTGATAGCGCGCTCAACGGGTGATCGTCGGCGGCCACTGTTGTGGCGGTGGTTGTTGTCGAGCCGTTCATCGCCGGTGCGGCACCTGATTGGTTGCGATACACGTGTTTGAAAGACATTAATAACACCACACAAACAGCTGATCCGCTAATACAGACCTTTTGATTGTTTACGTCCGACAGCAATGGTCTCGTTGTCTGGATTGTGGTTCAAATGAGCCAAAGTGTGGCCATCGATGGTCTGGCCGTCTGTTTGGTCGCCCTTTTCATCGCTATTATGATTGTTGTTGTGATTGGCGTTTGAATCCATGGGTTGTGACAATCAATTCACACAAATTAAATGCAATTAACAATTGAAACAACAAATGCTGTAATCATTTGAATTGAATGTCTATTTAGTGTTGTTTTCAAAGACAATATGTTTTACTGTCGACTCAATAGTGAAAATCACAACAAAAAACAAATGCAAATAAATTGCGATAAAAATTGTGTTTCAAATTGAATGTCAAATACTGTGCGAAACACAACACATACAGTACTCACTGTACATACAGTCTAACCCTTTTTTTCACGCCTACACTCCTATGGATTACATGTAATTAATTAATTACTGTTGTATTCAATTTTTCATAATACATGATCACATCGTGTATCCATAAAAGTGATGTGTACTGTATTTTACCAACTCATATGTTTGTGATTTTTCTCTCTCCCCCCATAGGCATAGCATAGGGCAGAGTCTATGGTTGTTATCGCTGTTTATCGACTGGTTTTTAGGGTAAATAAGCCACCAAAAAGTTTTCACCGCTTTTCGCTGTGTATTAACGGCGCGTGATTTTTGTTGACACAAATGCATTGATTTTCTATTGACTTTTTCTACAAACATTTGCCGTATTTTGTACTGTTTATATGTATGCCTGTATGACGTCTTACAGTCAAAGCCCGTTATACTGTATATAAGTTGTGGATTTACTGTTATTTTAATTATAAAATGGTATTTAAAAATGTGATTATCATAAGCGCTGATGAAATATGCGATTATGCTTTTTATTCGCTGTATTTCACGTAATAATTATGTAATTATATGTATGTTTTGATTAGCGTTTGTAAAATTGGGTCAAAAATATGGTTAACTCATTGAGAAAGTGTATATTTTTTTTACTGTAATGAAAGCCTAGAAACTTTGTTTAATGTATTTCGCACATAATATTTAATATATTGCACGATATTATATAATATATCCGTTGGTGTTATACAATACCTGTGCAAACACTATGCAAACGCACAGTCACTTAAACGCCCACCCCTTACAACCGTATCGCACATACAGTTATATAACTTAATACAGTATTATTCTTATCCCTTATACAAAAATTATGAGTAATTTAAATTAACTAGACTAGTTTAGCATTTTGTTGGCTTTGCCCATGATAAATGATGATGTATAAACTAGGATTAGCTTAATTGATATAATAATTCCGGTATATGTACTGTAGATAATTTCCTGGCATATCATATATTTCTCTTTATTCTCTAGTATTCTGTAGTTTTGTGATTAAATTTTGTTTTTAAATAATTTTGATTTTGTTTACCAAAGGATTGCACGGAATTTATAGCGAAATACTCGTTGACATTGAAAATAATAGACAGGTTTTATTATATGTCGTATAATTTGGTATCAAATTTTGTTTTTCAAATATTTAATAGCAAAATAAATTTAATTTAATGAGTTATTCGACGCGATTTATATGCATTTATGCACTAATGTTAGGCATTACTAAAATAATAATGCTTTTTAATACTAAATAAAATCCATTAAAATTAAGATAATAATTGAATTTGTTTGGAATTATTCAAACCCGCACTACAGGCCAAACAATGAACTAACATTAACTTTATAATTATTTTATTGAATAATTTGATTTAATTATTAATTTTTAGAATTATTTCTATAATATTAATAATTTGTTAATAGAAAAACTATTTTAAATACTTTTTAATTAATTCTGAGAGAGAGAGAG